AATTTCTGGCTCAGGTCTTCTTAAGACTAGAGAGACCTGTCAATGAACCCCAACCCCTTTTGTCTGAGCTCCATTATCTACTGCCAAATTTTTCAGAGCACAAACTGCCTCCCATCACCTAGAGATCAACCTCTCCCACCTCTTGCTCTGCCCTGCGTTCCAACTGGTGTCCAGGTGTTGGCTGTCTTTGGACAATATGTTCTAATTGAAAGCCTAGTAACAGATAGGATTGCTCAATGGTAGTTGAGTGTTCTCAGACAAGGATGTCTCTCTTGTTTACCAAGCTATGCTGAGTGTCTGAAAGAGTTAGTCCTTATTAAAAAAAATTTTTTTATTGACAAAGAAGTAAATGAAGCAGTGGATTAGATGAGAGAGTCTTAGTCTAAGATTATATGCATAGATTGCTGTGCCTTTTTGTGGAAGGTTTCATAGGTTCCTCAGATTCTCAGTGGTACCCAAGGTCCTCAAAATATTAATCACTATAGGCTTAAAATGCACAGATAAGAAAGGAACCTATGATTTGCTCTTTTGAAAACATTTAGTCTTTTGGGGATATTTTGGCATTTTGTAGAAGTGTATTGAAAAAAATATCTATAGCAAATAGCACCAGGTGGCTTCCAACCATGAGTTAGGGTTCCCTTTTGAGGATTAATAGTGAGGCAATCTACTAATTAACCTTCAGGGTTAGGGTTAGGGTTAGAGTTAGGGTTAGGCTTCTAGGTTAGGGTTTTGAAGCCTAGACCTTTGGGAATCAGAGTCAAAGCCATTTCCTTGAAGCCTCATCTGTGTGTTTTCAGAACTATAGCTTGGACTTTTTCCCCTCTCTAGAAAACCTAATTTTCTGATAGAAAAATCTTTACTTTATTTAGTTGCTGGGTAACAAAGCTTGTTCATTCTATTTTCAGCCTATTTGGTAGAGTCTTTGTGACAAATTTTATCTTTTGGAACTTGAGAAAATATACTGTTGTTTTGGAGTCTATGGGTATTGATTTATGCTGCGTATGACTGAGGACACAGTGCCTGGCAGAGAGGTGACATTCAATCAACCGTTCAGTAAATTAATGGTTATTCTTAGTTTTTGGGAGGCAGTATAGTTAAGTGGCTATAAAGAGCACTTCTTTTGGATCAATACATTCTTGGGTTTGAATACCATCCTTTCTGACTAGCTTTGTGCCTTTGGAAATGGGAACATCAAAAGTTCTTTCCCTGTTGGATTTTGTGAGAAATAAATCTGAAAATCTGAGTGAAAAATTACTTTGTATAGGGCCTGGATACAGAGTAGGCACTCAATAAGAGTGTTATTATAGGGTTATCATTATTAGCATTGTGATTATGTCTCTTATCTGGATTGCTTGTAGGTGACTAGAATAAAGTGTGAATGTGTGGAATTCATTTAGGACTTAGCTAAGAAGTTTTGGGGCATATTATGGATTATTGAGTATCTATCAAGTTCTAAACTCTGGGCATGCATTAGGATTCCCTGTGGAATATGTAAAAAATACTGATACTGGGCTGCAATTCAGATCTCTGGGACTGAGTCCTGAACATGTACACATTCTTTCAAAAACTCAACAGGTGGTGCTGATATGCAGGGTGGATCAAGTATTATAGCCACTGAGACTACATAAGCACAACTAAAGGATATCAAGTGAAGATGGAATGAGGTTTTCTAATATTTGACTTATTTTGGTGCCAAATTGGAATACATTTGTGAATGATGATCCTGGGCCTTGGAGTTCAGGGTTTAAATTGAGCTCATTCACTGTCTAGCTCAGTGGATGCTAGACTGTAAGCCCTGGAGGTCAGAGCCCATATCAGTCTTTTGCATCTGGATAGCCCTAGATTGACTTTAAACAAGCTATTGAAACTCTCTAAGCCACCTGTACCCTTACCTGGGAACTAATTAAGATAATCCAGGGGTACCTGAATGGGGATGGGTGCTCCACAGTAGTTGCTGACTTCTGTCTGTATGCATATAGATGGTGTCCCTCAAAATAGATCCCTATCTATTTTTCTAGTTCTTGCATATCTTCTTTCCCAACCCAGATTGTCTCTTTAAGTCAAGTGGATTTGTTTATTAATCCATGAGCTTGTATTTTTCACCATTCACTTAGCAAATATTCTTTATATCTCTCATCTCCATCTATAAAGTTTGCCCTGACCACACAATGTAAGATGATCATTCATTTGAAATGATCAGTTCAAATAAAGTTGAAAAGATCATTCTAATGTCATGAATGACTAAAAAGAATCAATAAAAAAATCATAGAAAATAAATTGCATTTATTTTAGCTCCTGGTCATGTGCAATTGTGTCTTTTTGTTGTTGTTGGACTGTCAAGTATTTTATTGTTTAATTTTATATATATATATATATATATATATATATATATATATTCCATATATCTCCCAAGGCAGACTGCATTTAAACAAATGCTGGACCCTGAAGGCAGGGAGAGTACTAAATCATATTTCACATAACAAGAGCTCAATAAAGCTGTGTTGATTTGGAAAAATACACTTCAGCTTTATCTTCTTTTTATTTCTTCCTTTTCTGTTATGAGTATCTGATCAAAAATTTATGTTGAAAATCACAGACACATGTATTGCCTCTCTCCAAGGAAAAAATTGTTTCAGCACAAGGAATGTTTGGGGAACAAGCCACATTTGAGGGCTGTGAATTTAAGAAACAGTATGTATTCTCCTTCCTCTCTGCCTTCCTGATGCGCCCCCCTATCTCTTAAAGCTTTGTTTCTATCCACCCCACCTTTCCAGAACCTACCAGGGAGAGGATTCTTCCTCCACCTGAAATCGTAGACTCTCTGTTAGCAAATGTTGTTTTGTTTCTCTTTGTTTATTCACTTAGTTTCCCCACTGGTCTGTGTGTAGAGGAAGACAAGGATTTTTTTTTTTTCTTAGCTTAGTATCAGTGACATTCAGCACAGAACTTTACTCACAGAAGGAGCTTATTAACTACTGAGACAGTGCAAAACACAGAGACTTGTATTCAAGTGGTAGAAATAGGATATGGCAAAGATGATAAATACAAAATAGAGAAGCATTTATTAAATTCTCCAGGAGTATACAAGGAATAAGATGCATGGGTTTGAAAAGAGTGTTTGAGGAAAACTAGGGAAGAAAGCTTGGACAAAGTACAACTTGATGGAAGGGTCAGATGTGGCCAAGAGAAGAAGACTGAGGAGGTCATTGCATACAGAAGATATTAACTTTGTAAAGGAACAGGGTCAGTGTATCAGTAAGAGTTTTTGGTTGCCTACGACAGAATCAACTTTCACTAGTTTGTACAAAAGGAGTTTATTGAAGAGTTCAGAGAGATCATACACTCTCTGGACCGGAGAACAAGACTTAAATGGTAAGTTACCCTGTCATATTCTGATATCAGGGATTCTGGAGATGAGACTTTTTTAGCTTTTACACTGGGATGGAGAAACAAGACTATCAACATAATAGTATGGTATTAAACTGTGTTAGGTGGCCATTGTGCCTGAGCATGTTTGAGTGACAGTGATGAGATCCAGTAACCTAAAGCAAAGGTTTTTGGAAGAATACCAGGAAATAAAGTTGAAAAGACCAGGAAGAGCCAGATCCAGGAGAGTCTCAAATTGCACACATCAAAGAATGTGAAGTTCTCTCTGTGTGAAAGGGGAGTCATGGAAGATATTTGAATGTCTGCATGTGGGGGTGGGAGAGTGAGAAGCATTCTGGAAAATGTCATATTTTGGCATTTCTTGAAGGCTTGGTAATTTATTCACAGAAGAGAGTGCTCATGAGGAAGGAGAACCTGAGGCCTGGCACTGGAGTCCCTTTGAGGGAAGACTGGCTTTGGAGAGGAGGGGGATAGTTTGGGTGACAGTGAAAGTTCAAGAAATGATGATGTGGGATGTGAGGGCCACCTGGCAATGACATCAGCCACCTCACTGATGAACAGGTTTGATTCAGCTGATCTGGTTGCCTGAGTATTGTCCGCTTCTTCCTCCACCCCTTGAAGCGGTGACATCCAAGAGAACCACCTTCCTTATGGAGGAGGTCTATTCTTGGTCAAGGGCATGTGACTATGTATGTTCCCCTGTTGGAGCACTAGTAGAACTCTCCTGTTCAAACCAAGCTCACTCTCAGGAAGTAATGGGATGACTCAGTAAGTCGTGGCACACATTAAGAGCCTGTCTTTTCTTTTATCATAACTCTATCATAGCTCACTTCTGTTCTTGCTACTGCATCAGCAATTTTCCCAAACTATGAATTCCATCAGTCCTATAATTCTTAGATGATTTCTTATTCCTGTCTCTCTGAAAGGGCAGGACAAATATTCCTGATTAAATGAAAGATGATTTAGGTGGTATGTAGGCATGGCATTAATGATAAGTGAGAAATGTATTTCTTGTTGAATAATCTTTACAGTCTTCTACATTTGACAATGAGGAAGAATTTGGGTAAGAATAATATATCTGACACTTTCTAATCTCCATTTGTAATAAGGAGAACAGGCCTCAAGGTCAGCGTTCCAAAATTAATTATATCATGCCACAGTTTTAATAATATTGTTTTCTTTTAAAAATTTATGACAAATTGTTTCAGTTTTTCATATGTGGCTGTGACATAAAATTTTAATGTCTTAAACATTAGATGAATATATCATAAGAACTACTATTAACTTTGTTGGGGTGACAATGGGATTTTAGTTATTTCATTTTAGTTAAGAAAAAGTTATTGTCCTTTAGAGATGCATCTGACCATAGAGATGAAAGCATAAATGGATGTGATTTACTTATAGTAACTTAGTAGGAAAGGTGCTCATGTGTATAATGGTGAAGATGGTGACGGTGCTGAGGGAGTACATAAAAAAACCACCTTTGGACATGGGTTGATATTTGTTATATTGGACACATGTAGATTTATTATACTGTTAGCCAGCTTTCTGTTATTATAATAAACACTTGAGATAGATTAACTTATATAGAGAAAAGGTTTATTTTGACTCACAATTTTGCAGGTTTCAATCCATGACTGATTGACCCATTGCTTTTGTGCTTGTGATGAGGTAGCACATCATGGAAAGAGCATATGGAGGAGCAATCTGTTGATCACTTTGTGACTAGGAAATGAAAAAGAGAGAAAGAGTTCAGGGTCTCATAATCCTTTTTGAGGGTACACCCCTAATGACCTAAAAACTTCCATCAGGCCCCACCTCTTAAAGTTTCTACCACCTCCCAATAAGTGCCATGTTGAGGACCAAGACTTTAACACATAAGTATTTGGGGAAATTTCAGATTCAAACTATAGCACATTTTTTCTGTGTGGTGCTGGGGATTGAACCCCGGGCCTCAAGCATGCTAGGCAAGGGCTCTACCACTGAGCCACATCCTTGCCCCACAGTGCACGTTAATGTCTCTATTATGTGTATTTGAAAATTTCCACAGGAAAATGTTTCAGACTTAAACTTTACTCTTAGGCAATGTTAAATAAATGTTAAAAAAAATTTATATGGAAAAATAAGTCAATTCACAGAAAAACTATTAAGCAAATAAGAATATTATAAGTGGTATGTAGGTAGGTATTAATCATATTCCTGAAGTCTATAAAACACTGGCCTGCTGGAAAAAGTCCAAGCTTCTACGTGGGGACCCGAGGTCCTCTCTATTGGAGCCTTTTCCTACCTCCTTTCTGGCCACTTGGACTGCAGCACTGTCAGGTCACCAGTAGTTCCCAGAGGGCCAGGCTCTTACATTTGTGCATCTTTATGCAGACTCTTCTGTTTTTTAGAATGCTTTCCAAACACATTTGTTCAGAAAATTCGTGCTCATTCTTTAAGCTCATCCCAAACAATGGAAGTGAAAGGAAAGGAACCTTCTGAGACGTTCTGAAGGAGAAGCAATTGAAGTCACTTGGAGACTCGTTGTGACTTGGTGTCACGATAAGGAGTCAGGAATCACACCGAGGTCTTAATGGTGGAATGAATGGTACCCCTGACAGACTAGGGAGGCTGGAAAGGGGATGTGTTCTAGATGATCAGCGGTGTGTTAGTCAGGTATTCACCGATGTGACAAAAATACCTGACCAGAACAACTTAGAGGAGGGAAAAATTATTTTGAACTCACAGTTCCAGGGGTTCAGTCTGTGGTGAGCTGACTCCATTGCTGTGGGCTCTAGATGAGGCAGAGCATCGTGGTAGAAGGGCAGGGCCGAGGAAAGCTGCTCAGCAGAAAGAGGGTTGAGAAGAAGTCAGGGATAAAAGATAAAACCCAAAGGAACACCCCTAGTGATCTGACTTCCTCTAGCCATGCCCAACTGCTACACTTACCACCCAATTAGTCTATGCAATTTATTAACCCATCAGTTAATCAAATGGATTGATATATTGATCAGGATACAGCTCTCATAATCTTCACCTCTGAACCTTCCTGCATAAACATAGGAACTTTTGGGGGATACCTCATATTCAAATCTTAATAAGTGGTAAATGAAGATTCAGATATGTTGAATTTAGGGTATCCCTGTTGGCTCCAAGATGTTGGGGGCAGCCAAAAACTGGATGGGGGCCATTTTTTCTCCAGCCAAATATTAAGTCTTTAGTAGATAGTCCCAGGATAGAAATGATATAGAATCCTATTGCTCCTCTTTCTCCTTCCTGTCAGTCAAATATTGAGCATTATTCTGCTGACAATGAGGCAGAGTAAAAGAAGGGAGAGGGTATGAAATACAAATCAGTCATTTGCTGCTTTTTAGGAGTGTTGAGAAAGCTTTGGGGGTTGGGAGAGTTAGAAACTGTTGGTTTATATAAACTTTTCCATTATGACAGAATTCTAATTATATTCCTCATCCACAATTGTTCTTACTTCAGTTTGTTCAGAAGAAGCCATAGTTAATGTGGGTTCACCCTGGTTTGTGAATTGCAGGGATAACTGGAAACATTCTACAAGACCTACCTGAATATCATGGCCTTTTAAATCAATTGATCTTAATGAGGAGAAACAATATAGTTACAGCATCTAGGGAGATGAGGTGGGTTCCTTTCCCCATGTATATGTTGCCCCACGGACACAATGAATGTTGCAGGTTCTGTTTTCAAGTTTCTGCAGCAAAGAGCTACTTCTGTATGGGTCTGTTAGCACTTCAACCATTCTATTTTGGTTCTTCGAGAGGCAGCTTGCTGTTCTGGCATGCTAGACAAGGGAGGATTTGATCTAAATTTAGTTGGAGTAAATATGACATTGCTCTTCCACTGGATTGGGATTTTCCATTTATAGAATGATGAGTTAGTTTTACCTTCGTCCTTTCTAACACCCATCCCAATGTCCCCACTCCCTTCCTTGGCAGCAGAGGTGAGAGTCCAGTTCTACTGAGATGTTTTTGCAATTGTCATCATTTATTCTTTTGTATTTAAAACTGAGGAATGCATGATTACCCCTCTGGATCTCCTGGTGAGTATAGGATTTTACACTATTTGTATTCTATAATTCATGACATGCTTGGAGCTCACTGTTAGGACTTGTAAAAAGTAGAAAGGATGAATCTGTAGGAGAAAAAGAAAAAAAAGAGGAAATGAACACATAAGCATAGTGCAGTTATTCAGTGAAATGCAAAATCTTGCCATAGTTTGTTTTGTTTGAATCAGATTTTACTTCTCAGGACCCACTTGTTCTCCACTTGCACCAACCCAGTCCTTTTGGTGTTGACATTTTGTACTCTGAAGTTTTTAAGATGTCATGCTTGGTGATTTGTTCTTTGGGAAACTATTTCTTGAAATGCCAGGTTGTTCTCATCTTAGATGGAATTTGGAGTCTACCACTGATGTTATTTTAATTTTAATGGTGAGTTCTTTTATATTTCACTTAATTCAACCCAAGATTTTGTCAATAGATTCAAATTTACTTTAACACATGAAAAGAGAGGGAACAGAAAGGTTCTTAGGACAAAATTATATCCTTTTTAAAATTGAGGCTATTGGTTGGTTTGTGTTCTTGCTTTAATGTACATTTTCATTATTTAGGGTGAAACAAGTGTTCATAAAGGTGATTTGTGAATATATGAAAAAATAAGAGATGCATGAGAGTTGTGCATAAAATCTCCATGGGTGTATTTAAATACACTCAACAGCTACCCTAAAGAGCAAATTTAGTACTTATCCAAATTGGAAAGCCAATGAGAGGTTACGGTGGGCACGGATGGAGTATTTATTCAAATAGTCATTTAGTATGGTTGCTGCTCCAATGTATCCCTCTGATGGTGTGGGTAGATTTATGCCTGTCCATTAAGGCATTTATCACTCTTTATTATGCTTTAGAATCATACAGGGAAGATTTTTCACAATAAAAGATCTGCCAGGCCTTGAATCCCAGGGATTCTGAGTCAGTCATTCTGGGCTCTACCCCAGAACACTGATTCAGATCCTCTGAGGTGCAGGGCCTGGGAAATCTGTGTTGATGTTCCCAAAAGAATGGAAATACCAGACTTATCTAGTAGGGATGGCCCTTGACCAACATCATTTAACATCCCAGGACATGTTGAGCTATAGATCAGGTTGAGGTTAATTCGTTAGGGTCTGTGAAAGAATTTGAGAATTCTTTCTCCCATGAGATTGTCTTGAGAGTAGATAATGGTGACACAAATCACAATGACAAGTGGCACCAAGCTGTATATCAATCAAGCTCTTGTTTTCTCTAAGTAGAGGACTTTGCACTTGTTCTTTATGGACATGTGATTTTTGTCTGATTAATGGGTATTGTTCGATGAGCACCTGCCCTCATGTTCTTAAAATATTTATCATTAGTTAAATCAACATTTTTTTCTAACAATTATAAGGACTTGGAAAGAATAAAAAGTACTCTCAATCTTTGTTGGCTGTATTCACAAAAAACAATACCTGAACTATTTCACCATGTTTTTTTGAAAAAAATTAAGTTGCCATAAAAGTGACCTTTCTTTGTCAGTGAGTACAAATTTTATAGGTTGATTTTAGCTTCTGTACGCCATTTTCAGTGGCCATAATTGCTGTCAGAGGTGAGTAGGGAATTTGTATTACCCTTTCCTCCATCCCATTTGTAGAACCAGACTGTGTAAAAATTGGAGAAGGTAAAAGCATTGTGCTAGGAATAGTAGGACTTTGGTTCTCGTACTTTATTTTTCTTAGTTTTGTGACCTCTGGCAAGCCACTCAATGTCTCTGGGCCTCATTTTCCTTATGTAAAACACATTCATAATATGTCTGAAAGCAGGGGACCAGTTAAACTCTTGAAGCTCATTTCACTGCCTGACTATAAAGGAGAGAGGTATGTCTAAGGCAAGGTCAAGTCAAGTGGGGTGGGCTGTGAGCTCCACAAGACTATGCGTCCCTGCTAGCGTTATTCTCCAGCCACCTCGCCAGTCTTGCCCTTGGTTGCTATGGTTTTCCACATCTCCTAGTTGGTAGATGCTTGTGTTTTTTTTTAACCAAATAATGTGTGATAAAGCCTCAGTGGGGCTCCTGAATCATTTGTGATGAATTAGATATAATTTTCCAGAGTTGTTTATTGGCTTAGAGAGTTGCAGTGGTAAAAACATGTACTTGTTAATTCACAGATATACATTTATGATTAGGAAGCATTTTAATGAAACATTCATGACTATTTCCTGCTTTTTTCTGAAAAAAATAAATTCAACACTGTAGAGTTTTTTGTTTGTTTGTTCAATTGCTTATTAGAGTGCTTTCTTCTGCCTGGGTAATATAAAGATGTAGTTAATGTTTTTTTCCCCCTATTTTGCAAAGATGTTATTGAACCCACAAATATACTCTGATCTCTAGAGGAGAAAAAAAGGTTTTTACTTTTTAAATTACTGAAATAAAGGGAAACAATTACATGGTAATAGTCCCATTTGCTGTGGGAGAATTCCACAGAAAATAATAACACTAGATAGATTAATTACTGTGGTGATTTTTGAAGCATAGGCTGCTGTCATACTGCAAACATTGCTTGTCTGGGTGGGCTTTCTGGGCTGCATGGCTTCAGTGTGCCCCTACAGATTTACTTACTGCCCTGCACATCCTCCTTAGTGCCCTGGGAGGCTGCATCACATGACTACCTCTACTGGTGTCTTAGTCAGCTTGGACTGCTCTAACAAAATACCACGGGCTGTTTGAACTAACATTTATTCTCACAGTTTGGCA